CCTCCCCATTTGATTTACTGTAGACATTCATTACATGTTGAATTACTTTACTCTTCCCTTCTGTCAAGAATTTCCAACCTTGAGCATGTCCTGCTGTTTGATGCTGCACAATGGTCCTCTGGGATGAGTATCAGTATTCAATGATGCAGCATTAGATCTTTGCTTTTAGTCTCAAGCTTTTAGTCTCTCAGATCTTGCAGAATTATGCTCGAGTTTGTACTTCCCCTTGAAAGTCTACTTCATATCAAATACTGCCACCTTTTCCAGCTCCATGGAGTTAAGTAGGACCAAATGACTTATACTGGTCAATGGGCTATGAGTAGAATGATGTATGTCACTTCTAGCAGTGAGTGAGAGGTTTCATGTATCCATTTCCCCCACCATGATAGCTTTCAAAATGATAGAACTTTCCTGAGTTTGTGGAGTAGAGATCCTCTCTTGCCCTATACCTCATCTCCCTACCAACCTAGCATTGAACCTCCCTGACAAATTAAACTTTGTTGTATTAAGCCTCTGAGATCTTTGGGTTTATTTATTATTGAGGCATAGCCTATCATGTCCTGGAAGTGAAGTGCTGAATTAAAAAATAAATTGTATAGTATTGAGTTTGTGGTTGGCAATATGTGGTTAGGAAGCTGATATCAAAGGTAGGAAAGATAGCAATTTGTATTGTACAGTCATAAAACATTTGGTAAAATTGTTAACTGCAATAACTTAGAAGTAAGTTATTCCATATTCCAATATATGGAATCAGTCTAAGTGTCTATCAACAAGTAAATGGGTTTTTAAAAAGTAGTATATGGACACAATGGAATACTATTTAGCCATAATGAAGAACAAAATCCTGTCATTCATGGCAACATAGATAAACCTGAAGGATATTATGTTAAGTGAAATAAGTCAGGCAAAGAAAGAAAATTATCTCATGGTCTCAGCCATCTGTGGAATCTAAAGAGTTGCTGTCATAGAAGTAGAAAGTAGAATAGTGGTTATCACAGGGTGCAGAGGGTAGAACAATATAAGATTGGCCACAGATGCAAAATTACAGTTAGAAAGGAGGAATAAGTTCTGGTGTTCCACTGTTATAGCAGGATGACTAGGGTCAACAATAATGTATTGTATATTTCAAAATAGCTAGAAGATAAGTTTTTGAATGTTCTCATCACAAAGGAAAAAGTAAATGTTTAAGGTGACAAATGTACTAATTACCCTGATTTTATTATTACACAATGAATATATGTATCAAAACATCATATTGTACACCATAAATGTATATAATTATTATGTGTCAATCATACAAAAATATTGTGTACTTAAAGAATTCACATTTTTAGTGAGAAGTGGGTAAAACCCAAAATGTCAGTAGTGTGTCTTGGTTATTGCTTGCTGCTTTTGCAAGATAATAAGCAAAAGCCTGGTTTTAAAAGTGGAAATAAAGAAGAATAGATACTTCCAGAATTCCAAGGTCTTGCCATGTTTGAAAATCCAATCCATTTTTGCTCCCAAAAGAAAGAGATGAAATTAAGTAAGCATTTGAGGCAAAGTCTGTTAAAACTAAATATTTTTGCCAAGAGTCAGATTAAGGGTGTGACCTTCATGTCTACTTAAAATCTCTCAGTGGTTTAGAATGTCTCAAGGAAGAGATCAGGTAAAGGATCTGGCCTTACCATTTGCTACTCCAGAGACTCACATAAATCATGAAAGATATAGAGGTGAAAAAGCAAATAAATATAGCAGATCTAAGCTCTGTGCCTCCAGAGACCTATGGTGTGGCTACTGGAATAGGAAACTGATTAAGTCAGATGGAAGTTGTACCTCTAAGGTCTTCAGAGAGTTGTACTTCCAAGGAAACTAAGAGGTTGAAGTAAAAAAAAAAGTTTGTGGAGCCTTAGAGAATTAAAATAAGCCTTGGACTTCCAATCATCTATGGGGACAAAGTAAGTCCAAACTAGCACATCCCTCAGGAATGTATGTTTCAAAATATTGTAAAGAATGCCTCATCCTGTTTGTAAACACTTGTTTGCAACTGCCTTATTTGAGAAATTGGCTAGATGTGAACTTAATTAGATTTTACACTTTTTTGTTTTTTTTTTAAGGGTAGAATTTCACTCTGTTGCCAAGCTGTAGTGCAGTGGCATGATCTCGGCTCATTGCAACCTCTAATTCCCTGTTTCAAGTGATTCTCCTGCCTCAGCCTCCTGAGTAGCTGGGATTACAGGCACTCGCCACCATGCCCAACTAATTTTTGTATTTTTAGTGGAGAGGGGGTTTCACCATGTTGGCCAGGATGGCCTTGATCTCCTGACCTCATGTTCTACCCACTTTGACTTTGCATAAGCCGCCATGCCCAACTGATTTATACTTTTTAATGTCATTCCAAAGGACACTGGGCTACATTGATAGGCATATGGGTCCCTTGCACAGAACAGATTAGAATATAATCATTCAGTAAGTTCCTTTCCTTCACTTACCCTGATTGACATTGTGCTGATGTTTTGCATGTTATTTAACTTCTGCTCAACCTCCATTTCAGCTCCGCACATGAAAACTGCCTACATATTTGTTTGCCAGGATTCCTCCCTCCATGGACTCCTTTGTGCATAAACAGTCACTGACGGGTAAAGGCCCGGCCTGCTTACAAGCATCTTTTATGTTGCCTGACCTTACTCCTGGAACACCCCACTTAGTTACTCATTTCTGTACTCCATTAAAGGGCACTGTTAATGTTGGGTTTGCTGTGATCTAGGTTTGAGTACGTGGAGAGTGCCTTCTGTGTGTTGACCAGTGACAGGTAAAGGCTCTATCCACATGAGGGTACACTGAAGTTGAGTCCAGGAATAATGGTTTTAATACCCAGAGAAATACCAATGTTCATGAAGGAGGTGTTAGGATGATTTTACAATGGTGAAACAGCACATTGTTGAACATTTGACTAGCATGGATGTTTAAGAGCCAAGAAAATGTGTAAGGAGTAATGTCAAATTGTAGAAGTAAGAATATTCTAGTTAACTGGACCACATTTTGTCTTCCCTGTAGTTTTTTAGCAGATAAGATGTTGTCATTAATATTTCTGTTATCTAATGTGCAGGCCGCTTTAATAAGTTTAAGTTTGAATTAATCAAGATAGGCTAGGTAATGCTGGAAGAACAAATTAACTCTGCAGCCCCAGTGACTTCCCAGAAAAATGACCTCTTCTTTGTTCACAGTGGGAATGGAAATTTGGAATGAAGAAGGGGCTAGATGAGATGATGTTCCACTTAGTCACCCAGGGACTAAGTAAGGAATTGTTGTAGCCCATGGCCAGAGTAAGCCCATGGCCTTGCCCATATGTAATAGGGCTGGGAATTGTGGGCAAGCATCAGGATATTAGATAATCAGTTAATATTTTTGCAATAATCTGCTCTTGTGGTTACCAAAATTATCTTAGCCCCCATGGAGTCATAGAACATAGAACTTACCACCCATATATCATACCCAACCCATCTCCAAAAATTTTTTCACTTGCTGCAACCATTTCTCAGTTTTGAATCTCTAAGTTTTAGGTGGTTGTCTTATCTCTACATCATATCCAGATGTGGAGTCTCTCATTCTGGGGATGTATAAACCAAGAACTATGTTGTTCCAGGCATACTTGTAAGTCCTTGGGAAGCAGTAGTGAGCAAACAAATTATCTGCCACATGGTAGTCACATTCTATCAGAGAGAATGACTAAACAAATAAGTAAATATATAATACTATGTCAGAGTTGGAAGAATTCTGATGACTTTAAAGTCTTTGAAATATATGATAGAAAGATTGCTTTAAAATATTTCATAAGTTTTCTAACATTAATGTGAAAACTTGAAGCAAATACAAATAAGAAAGTCATGTTACCTTGGCAAAAAGAATATTTACGCATAATGATCTAATTCATTTGAAAACTGGGGGAAAATGGGAATGCTGTATGTGGTATCTTGTTTTTCTTAATGTAACACTTTGCAAGCATTTCTTTTTTGGCCTTAAGCAGTTTTCAAAAATATGTTTAATAGCTATAAACATTACAGGCTATATAAAAAATTAATGCTTTTTAATTTTCAACAACTTATATGATCATAAATGAAACTTATAAGTCTTTGCATATCTGAATATATCCCTAGCATAAGGTACTAGAAGTGAAGTTAGTGGATCTAAATGGCATCTATATTTATGATGCTGGATATACGTTGTGAAATAGATTTGTGAAAATATTATGCTTTCTAACTATTACAATAATATGAGATATGTATATTTAAAACTTTAGCCCAAACTGCCATATTAAACTGCATATTTCCACTTACAGGTGAGATTGATATTAAAAATGTGTTTATTATGCGTCCCCATTTCTTCTGTGAATTCTTTGCCATTTAACATTCCTCCTTTTTTTCTAAAAGGCTGGTAGTGTTTTTTTTCTTTTATGTGATACTTTGTGTATGAAACATCTACTTGCTACAATTTCTTAAAGTGGTAATTTGTATTTACTTTTAGATTTTGACATTCAGAAGTGTCTTTACGCGCTCAAACTTACTGATCTTTTTTCTTTATGTTTTCTATTTCTCTTGTGCTTAGAAAACCTTCTCTATTTTGAGATTGGTAAAATATTTCTGTTCTTCTAGACATATTTTTAAATTATATGTTTTTGATAAAAGACATCTATATGTAATTTATTTTGGTGAAATGAGACTTTGATCTGAGTCTTTTCAGATAGTTTATTTTCTCAACACCACTTGTTAGTAAAATAATTTGTCCTTTTTTTCTATAGGTTTGTGATACTTTCTTATCTGTCAGGTTTACACACACAGACACACGTCTGCTTTTGCACTTTCATTAATCCGTTTGAAAGATTCTATTTTTAAGGTTGTGTTGTGAGTGATGTCTCCGGTACTTTTTGGCCCAGATGTTAACAAAATTACAAGTAATTCTTGGTACGTCTCCACGGAACCAGGGAGGGCTGTGGTACGGAGGCATTTAGGACCCAGGGGAAAGCTAGGCTCGGTATAGAAGGACAGAGATCGGGCGCACACGCCTCCTACCAAAATCACAGCCCCGTGTGGAGCCCAAGCTCTCATTCACAGCTTTCTAGAGAAATCTGAGCCTGAACCTGCCAGAATAGGGGACCTCACCCACCCAGTTCAGCAGCGAGGACACCTGCAGAAATACATTCCCAAAGCAAGGCTGGGCGGCGGTGTGAAGGTATTTGTTGCCTTTTTTCTCCCCTCCGTATTTGCAGAGCCTCCCCGCCTTTCCCCCTCTTGCGCGATGCCATGGCTGCGGCGTTTCAGCACTTCGGTATGTGGACAGCTCCCACCTGCAATCCCTCTGCACTCCATCCCTTCCGCACCCCGCTCCCCGCCGCCTCCGCGGTCCACCCTCCTCCCGGCGCCCGCTCAGCCTGCGCCCCCTTACACCATCAGCACCCCCATCTCCACCATCTCCGTCATCATTGCCACCATCACCAGCGCGGTAACTACAGTCACACAACTGTGTCTTGCCACTTAGACAAACAAAGCCCAAGGTCCGCAGGGTAGAGGGAAAGAGCTCAAGTTGACAGGCATAGGAAGGAAAGTTCAGGTGAACGAACCCCTGAAAACAAAGAGAGACGCCTGTTTGAGAGAAACGGAAAGTGAAGGCAGGAGGGAGAGACCCCAGGCAAGGGGACAGATGGGGCACTTGCCAGACACCAGCAGTTAGCCAGCTGCCTTTCAGCAGATTAGAGACTGTTTAGTTGAGGAAATTAACATGGCCTAGGGCATAATGTGATTCCAGAAAAATAGAAATGTAAGCTCAACCTGTTTCTGGTTTTCCGATGGAGAATCACCAGGAAGCAGGGTGGGGGTGACGGATGACTCATATTCACCCACACGTCCATTTCCCTTCCTAAGTGTTTAATGCAGAAACTCTGGAATTAAGTTTTTTTTTTTTAAGCTAAAATGTTTTGTAAAATAGGGAACCCAAAGGTTAACTCTGTGGCCATAATAAAAATAAAATGATGACAATGATAGCCTAAGAAAGGAGGCTGTCATTCAAATGAACTATTTTTTCCAATGTTTCTTTCTGTCTACTTATTTCAATTTTCCAATCTTAAACCTCTCTTTGAAGCAAAGAAGATAGATCCCTTGCCCAAATGGCCAAAGTAGTAATGATATTCATAGCAGATGGCCTTGCTTTGTTCATCACGAGTCAAGGACTGGCTCAGATTTGGAAGGCAAGATTTTTATGTGCTTTCTCAGTAATCAGGTGATAACACCATTTTCCTATAATAGTAAAGGGTAATAGACTGCAAAAATTGAAAAGGCATTTTATGTAACTCTGTTTTGCCAGACTCTGCTTTTAGAGTGCTATCATTTTCTATCTTGGCTGAAGGGAAGTTGGAACATCTTTCAAATGTCTGATTAATTTGAACCCAAAAGTCTAAGCCCAAGTCATAGTGCCTATTTAATTTAGTCAGGATCATCTGTTTTATAAGAGCTAACAAGCACCAGCAAATAAGTGCCTGAGCCTGTCATAAATAAAAATCTTTTGCTGGGTGCTCATTTAATTGATTTTTACTGAGCAGTAAAGCATTGGGATTTTTTGACGTTATTTTTTTATGAAATTAACATCTTAATAAAAAATGAGGTTATTTAAATGGGAATGATAGATCACATGTGACAAGAAAGTTTAAACCAGAGCACAGAAAGGCTTGATTTTAAAATTGCCCTTGTGTATTTGTTCTGTTTCTTAAAACAGTGAAGCAAGTTTCATCTAAACCAGATTGCTCACCATTATAGGTACCGTAGAAAATAAAGACAGTCACAAATATGAATCTTCCAGAAGAAGTTTTGAGGAAGAATTCATACGTAATTCTCTTTGAGAATGAGGAATCTTAGCATTGTGTCAAAAGTTAATTACTGCTACTAATTATTTAGACGTAATTCCACCTGTCTCTAAAATTCGTTCACTTTTGAATCCCAAACAAGAAAACTAGCAAAATATGTGGTGAAATTGATTTTATAGAAGAAAATTTGGTCATTCACATAATGTTTCTTGGTTTGGTAATATCCACAGTAAACAAGACCTCTTAAAAGTCCCTGAAAAAGAAGATTCTTAAAAATCCCTTTTCTGTCTGCAAAGAATGGTTCAGCTCAGACAATTTTTAAAAGTGTACATGTTGCCAATTCTAGCTGCTTCACACCAGAAATGCAGGCCAGGAATCCAGTGCTTTTAGAGCTTTTCTCTTCCTGTGCTTAATACAATCTCTTGGGGCTGGGGAAATTTTAAAACAATGCTGTTTCAGTGAGATTTACAGGCATCTGTCTGTAAGCAATGACTTTTCCTGACTGAAATGTTATGCTGAGCTTATTAATTTTTATAGAATGCCAGTATCCTGGCTTCCTTACTTAAATGTTTTCTATTGAGAGCTATGTTGCCTTTAAAAATGTTTTCAATAACAGAAATTACTCATTTTTATAATAAATTTAAAGGTGAACAGAAAACGTTTTCCAGCAGGGTGTCATCATATATTTTTGTAGACAGGCTCATAGAAAAGTGCATCTTTTTAGAATTGTGGAGTACAAAGCTAGAAGGTTTTTCATTTCCCAAAAGGCAAAGTCTTGAACTTTTCAGAATTGACAGTGCCTGCTCACTTCTGAAGATTTTTTTTTTCCTTAAACAAAGAAAGGCACTTTATTATCCCTAAGAAGTCTATTCACAACTTTACATACTCCCTGATAGCAGAGACATCCATCCTTAGTAAATGGATCCAGGCTGACTTTGATCTTCTCTACTGTCCCCGTTACACAGTGACTCAGACAGAGGAGGCAGCACAGCAGAATGAGCATACAAAATATGAAGCTTGACTGTATGCACTCAGTCCAGAAATATGTCCTCAACATTGCCAAGAGAGACCTTCTTTTTGACCTTCTCCCAAGTATCGCTTGATTATTGTTCATTTTATCCAGATATTACTGGAATAAAGTTGTTTCAGGAGAAGGTCCACAGTGTGAATTTTGACAATTCTGCAACCTCTAACTGATGTTATATCTCTTTATTGAAACCATGCTTAATTGCCGATCTAAGTTTTTCTCAGCTTAAGGGAACTTTATGTTCTTTTGCTTGATTCTTTATGGATTGAAAATGAACTGGCCAAACATCCCTTGCCCCATGAAAAGCTTTCATTTATTCAGATAATAAGTTCATTATTCTTCCCTATCTCTGATGCCTCCCACAGCCCTTTTTTATATCTTCTCAGGTCAGGTTGCCCTAGGCTTTGTAGCTTTGTGCACTTGTTCTGTGACAGGAAGTATCAGAGAAAGTTTTCCATGTGGTAGGCTAATTTCCTGTGAGCTTTCCTGCTTCCTGATTTCTGAGCCAGCAGAAATTTGTCCACATGTGTTTGAGATGCTCTGCTCTCGTTTCCAGGATGCTTTTAGCCAAATCTCCAGTTCCCAAATATTGTGCAGACCACTGATGACTCCTTTTCCATCTATGCTTCTTAAACAGTATCAAAGGCCTTAGGCAAAGTTCCATACATTTATGTGTGTCATTTACATAGCTTATTCAATGTTCATTATTTTATAGTTTTGGAGGAAGTAGGAGGGAAGTTATGGGCCTGGGAATAGCGTGATGAGGGTGGATGTTAAATTACAGGAACCATACATAAAAACCTTCTTTAAGTGTGGTCAAAACAAAACAAACAAAACACGTAAGATTTTTCTCTTTTCTTTTTCTCTTCTCCCCTTCTTCTTTCCCTTCCTCTCTCTAAATTTCCCTCCCTTTCTCCCTTTCTTCTTTTGTGGTTGATATATAGAGCATGCAAACATAGTGAGAGTAATTAACTGGGTGATCCGATAAGCTATTATGAGTGTCATTTCTCCGTAGTTATAGAACACATTGTGGGTGCCTTATGTTCCTCTTGGACAGTGTAGTAGGGCTGTCCACAGAGAGTGTGATTTCTGGCCTCAGAGGCAATTAACCTACCTCTCAACCCCTCTGGGTCATTATAAATCCTCTAGACCAGCTTTTCTCAAAAATTAATTTGCAAAGAAATTGCCTGGGGATTCTGTTACCTGTTCAGTAGGCCTAGGTAAGTCCTGACATGCTGTCACTAACAAGCTTCTGGGTGCTGCTGCCATTGCTGATGCATGGACTACCCTTTGAGAAGCAAGGGCAAAGAAAAGTTTTCTTTTTAAACATTCTCACTTTTATGTCTGACTATTAAATAATGACACTCGTTCCAAAACAAAACATAAACCACCCCATGTTCTGAGGCAATAAGAGCTCAGAAATTCTATTTCTAATTGAGGAGAAGGTTATAAAAATAGCCTCTTTCCTCCCACCTCACTCTTAAGCATGCTGCTGTGCTTTACTTTTCCCAGGCAGTTTTCTTAGCTGTGATTCCCGCTGCTGCCGTTGCCTGTGCAGTCACATCCAGAAGGGTCACAGTTACATGGATCTGCTGGGAAAACATTTAGTAGAAAAAGGGGCAAAGAGAGTTAATGGTCATTTTGGGGTGAGTTCTGCCTTTCTTACATTCCTTTATGTCCTCTTAAAAAAAAAAAAGACTCTATTCTTAGAGAAATGCTCTTTCCCTTTGATGACAGAGGGGTCAAGTGTTTTGTTTTTGTTTTCCTTTCTTTTCCCATTGATAACCCTAAGAAGCACAACGAATCTGTTTTAAAAATGGGAGTATCAACTGCCCATGACTTCATATGGAGATAGTTGAATAGCTTATGAAACATCCCAATCTAATATTCTGTGGCTCAACAATTTTTTCCCTATATGTGTTCTTTATTTAAAATACACTGAGGTGTAAGGTAAATGCTACTTCAATTAAAGACTTTTTCTATCAGACACAGTGAGGAGGAACAAAAATCCCATACTTTCTCTATAAGTTGGCTTCCCCCTCAACTCCTTGCATTATTTGTCCCAAAGAAAACTGCAAAATTGTTCTAGAATCCTCTGTCACATAGGTCCATCTTCCCTGAGTCAAAGTGTATTCCAATTCTGACCTGCCATCTGTTTTGGTTACAGGTTTTCAGTGTCTCTACTCTGATGAAACTCATTTCAATCTACTTTTAACATTTCTTAAGAGCAGGAGCAAATGGGAGCAAATGATTATGTGCTTTTTTGCTGTTTTGAAGGGAGCCAAGGGAGTCTGCACAATGGGTATTTATGTGGCAAGAGTTAGTCCTAGGCTAGGACTGAGCTAAACG